CTTCATCATTTTGCCCCATCTCTTCTGAACTCGCATCACCTCTGGCTGCCTCCAGGACAGGGCTTGCAGCACGTCCCCCTGCCTGGGGTGCTTGTGGGTGCCTCATTGCTGTGTGGGGACAGGGTCCCTCTGGTGTGGCAGAGAGAGGACATGGATGGTGCCTGCACCCCACACGGCCCCTCAAATCCTCCCAAACCCAAGAGGATACCTTCTCCTGCTCCTGCAGTGCAGGGAAGGTGGTGGGATGGCTGCCTGGCACAGACCTTCCCTGGGACATGGAGAGATGCTGCTGGATGCTGCCAAGACCTGCAGGGATGGAAGAGAGCCTACAGCACCCACAGCTGAGCTCAGCCCCCCAGAGACCCCCTCCCTGGCTCAGCATCAGCCTCGGCAGCTCCCCAGGGAGAGGAGAGCCACACACCCACAATGGGGCCACTGCCACCCCCCCCCGTAGTGGCACCCCTGCCTGGCAGGGGGACCTCCTTCCCGCTCCATCCTTCTGCAGCCCCTTGGCCCTAGTTAAGGACAGCAGCAGCCTGAGACGTGCCTGGGCTGGTTGGCACCCGGGGCAGCTCTGCCGCCTCCCGTCTCTGCTCGGGGCTGTTATCTCAGCAGCTTGGCAAGAGCTGTCAAAGCAGTCCCGGGCCAGAGTTAATCTCGGGGTTGTTGGCAGAGGCGAGTGGGTCCCAGCCTCACGTGGCCGGACTCAGTTGGGGGATTTGAGTCTCCCGCAGCTGTTTGTAGAGCAACGCACTGCACTGGGTTGCAGTCAAGTGGAGGGTGAGTTGCTGCAGAAGCAGTCGGTCCTGCTGCAATCCCCATCCTTGTGCCAGCGTGGTGCCGTGGGATGGATCCGGCTGGACCGGGGGGTTGATCCACCTGAAAACCACCTGTCAAAACCTCCGTGGGTTTCCCCTGCTGGCAGTGCTGCAGGCGGAGAGCAGGGAGCTGACCCGGTGGTCCCTGGTCATCCCGTGTGGCCCTTGGGATGCAGGGAGGGCTCAGGTGCTGATCCCCGTGGTGGGGGGAAGGTGGCACCAGCCAAGCTCTGCTGGACCCCAAATGAACACTGCATACGGTGCCAGCCAGTGTGGGGTGGGCAGGAGGTGACCAAAGCCTGTGGGCTCTGCCAGTGCTGGGCTGGCGACCCTGGTTTTGTGGCTCTGTGGAAGGACCTCCATTAGGTCCCAAAACCTCAGCGTGGTGGGCACAGAGGTGGCCGTTGTCCCACTGTCCCAGATAAGAGCACCCAGAGGCAGGAGGATTGGGGCACCTCACAGCGATGCTGTGAAAGGGTGACGCTGGGGGCAGCACCAGTGGGGCATGGTGGGTCCTCCTGGGAAAGCCCTGAAGTGATGCTGGGCGTGGTGGGGGGTTCCGGGGGGACATGGATGGGACTCTTGGGAAAGCCCTAGGGTGGCGGCGGTCTGGGGTGTCCCGGGGTGAGGCTGGGGGTTGGTGGGGGGCATGGCTGGGGCTCCCGGGAAAGCCACGGGGTGCTGCTGGGGGCAGCGGG